AATTAAGTCCTGGTTCTCATGAAAATCATAGTTTATAATTCTTAAAATATTTCATGATATGAAATATTTCAAATGCACAAGGCGTAACATAGCAAACACCGACGTACTATTACCCACATTTGGTGAATATTAACACAGTTCTATTTGCCTTACATTGAGCATACAAGAAAAATTTATTTATTTTTTTAAAAAAAGGTAACTGATTTAAGAATGAGAGTTCTAGGGTTGGTTCCTGGGAGAGGGAGACATAGAGGGAAGGGGGGCAGGGATAATTTCAGAAGACAATCCTTTCTGTTTCTCTGTTTAGTTGTCCCCACCCTGAAGATCACCACCAAGCCCTCTGCGATGCAAATCCGTGTGCATCAGAGAGTGAATCTCACATGTCATGTGAGCCACTTCTATCCTTCCCGCCTGGACCTCATCTGGATGGAGAACAGGCACAAGGTACGGACTGTGGAGTCCCCCCAGGTCGCCAGAAACCCAGATGGGACCTACTCTCTGGAGCACACCTGGCAGGTGGAGGCTACGCTGGATGGGAGAGAGTTTGCCTGCTGGGTGGTCCAGGATGAGCAGCCCCCAGTCCAGGCCAACATCACCTTGCGGGCTCAGGCATCCAGACTGCGGAAAGGTAGGTGCAGTCTCTTGCCAGCCCCTCTGGGCAGCCTGGCTGGGAAAGCCAGGTGCAAAACACTTGCCATCTGCCTGGAGTGCAGACAGCAGTGGGTCAGGGACTCAAGGCAGCAAGGGATGAAGGTGAAGGAGGAGAAGATGCCCTGGGATTGTGATAAAACTCTCAAGAATTCATTCCCAAACTCCACTCCTCTTTCCCCTGTTAGTCTCTCAGTCGTGCCCGACTCTTTGTGACCCAATGGACTGTAGCCTGCCAGGCTCCTCTGTCCGTAGGATTTCCCAGGCAAGAAAACTGAAGTGGGTTGCCATTTCCTTCTCCAGGGGATCCTCCCAACCCAGGGAGTGAACCCTGGGTCTCCTGCATTTCAGGCAGATTCTTTACCATCTGAGCCACCAGGGAAGCCCTTCAACCCCTACATCCTTTTTAAGGAGGAGTGGGACTTCCTTCTTCAATTCCATGCACTGTTCAGGTTGAAAGTGCTCTGTTTTAACACTTCAGTACAGGAAACAGTAGATACTAAGGACAGCTAGAAATCAAAATCCCTTCCAGAAAGGTGATAATCAAGACTGGTTCATCTGACAGTTTCTAGGAGTCGATTTTAAAGGGCAGCCAGAATTCTTGACAGGATTACCTGGGAAACTGGAGGGTGCAGGGGTAGGATTCTCATTCTCTCTACTATTTTTTTGCTATCACTTTTGCTCATTTGTTTGCTCTCTATCACTTCTGTCTCAGGCTATTTTTTCTCTCTTCTCCCCTCCTCTGTCCCTCATTTTTCTTCTCCTTCCCTTTTTCCTCTGTCTGTCCCTTGTTGTTTTAGTTGCTAAGCCATGTCTGACACTTTTTCAATTGCATGGACTGAAGCCCTCCAGGTTCCTCTGTCCATGGGATTTCCCAGGCAAGAATACTGGAGTAGGTTGTCATCTCTTTCTCCAGGGAATCTCCCCCACCAGGGATTGAACCTGCGTCTCCTGCATTGACAGATGAATTCTTTATCACTGGGCCACAAGGGAAGCCTCTCTGTGTATGCTTGCTAAGTTGCTTCAGTTGTGTCTGACTCTTTGCGACCCTGTAGACTTTGCCCACCAAGCTCCTCTGTCCATGGGAATTCTCCGGGCAAGAATACTGGAGCGGGTTGCCAGGTCCTTCTCCAGGGGATCTTCCCAACCCAAGAACTGAACTCGTATCTCTAATGTCTACCTGCATTGGCAGGCAGACTCTAACACCAACTCCACTTGTGACTCTTACCTTCTAAAACTCTATCTTCTCCTATGTACCTTTTGTGTGCTTGATGACATTCTCCACTAGAGGGAGCTGCCCACCAGCCCTTCAAACCCTGGGGCCGGATCTGCTTTCCTTGGTCTTGGCTTGAATCAGCTTGGGAGAATGAGTGACTGGGCCAGAGGGGCTGTGTTGGGGAGGGAAGGAGAGACAGGAATATTGGAAATGGCCAGACCTGGACTGGCCAAGGGTGAACCAGAATCCACTGACAACTCTCCCGAACAACAGGAAGTGGGATAAGATAACTCCCTACGGGCAGTGTGAGCTACTTGGTCTGCAGCACCAGCAAAAGGGCAGACAGGTTGCTGGGCTGCAAAACCACACGTCTTCACAATGGGAGCACTGACCCTGCGTTCGATCTCTCCCTGAAAGAACTGGACTTTTCTGCTAACTCCAAGAATTCTCAGGGGCAATGAGCCTATTACCTTTCGACTTCTCCATGGCCTTTTTTTTCTTGTCCAGAGGAAATAAGAAAAATGTCCACCCAGCGGGATATACAGATCTATGTGAAAAACTCCAGACTGCTCCTTTCTGATCAGAAGCAAGTTACATTATTTCGTTTTTTACTCATGCTGAGGTTTTTCTCTCTGTCTTATTTTTCTCCTTCGCCTGCATACAGGTATCTGACCCACTACGACAAGGTGAGCCCCCTGAGAACATCACTTTGATTCCACTACCCCTCTGTGAAGCTGTTTGATGTGCCCTCTGGTCTGCAGTGGGAAGGGCAGCTTCCTTTTCTGGCTTCAGGCCCTCTTCTGTTTGGTGTTAAGGTGCTTTTGCTGCAACACCTCCTCAGCCTGACTCCTAAACCCCTTCTTCAGCTCCCACCCCTTACACAATCCCAGTCATGTTCACTGACCCCTGTAAGCACATACTGTGTGCCAGGCATCCTCACATATGTCGTCTGACACAATACAGTTGGGACAGGCAGGAGAGGAGCAGGTCTCAGGGGTCTCAAATAGTAGAACTTGGATTCAAAGGCAGGGCTGTCTGCTCACCAGTTCAGTGTGTTTTCAGTATTTTTTTTTCCCTCCATCCTGCCTAGGTATACAAATATTAGTGTTATCTCAAGTCTTTTGTAAATTTCCCTCTTAAATACTCTGTATCCTATTTATTTCCTTCTGAACTGTCGTATCTGCCCACATCATTCCATTCTCACAGTGGGCCCTGAAACTATGGGACCTCATCCAAGTCCTGACCGGTGTTCTGTTCATTTAGGCCTCTTCTCCATGCTGAGACCCTCTCGGCCCTGAAGCAGATACTGGCTCTTATTTTCGGAGTGGCCAGATTTTGGAGTCAAATGGATTGGTATCATCTGGCAGGGTTGCCATGGGCATTCTGCGACCTCGGGCAAAGCAGTGCCCTTCCTGAGCTCCATTTCCTCCTCTGAGCAAGAACAGTTGTGCCCTCCAGGTGGGAACCAGCTAGGGCTCCTTCCTTTGACCCATGCTTGGCATCTAGATATTGGGCTGCACAGAGGATGCTCTATGATGATCGTGATGGCAGTCTCTCTGATGCCCAGACCATGCTGGGTTGAAAGCAGGAAAATGCTGAAGTTCACTAATTATTATGGGGAAGCTATGGAGAAACAGAGGCAGCTTCCATGTAACAGAAAGAGCACCTGACTTGGAGTCTGTGACCGGAATGTGAGTTCTCTTTGCTGTGAGGCTCTTGGGTGAGTTACTAACGTTCTCAGCCTTTTTCCCTTTAACATTAGGAATATGATTAAAAATAATTCTTTAGGTGGCTGATGTGAGTATTTGATGATAGTAGTTATCATTTGGGGCTTCCCTGGTGTCTCAAACAGTAAAGAACCTGCCTGCAATGCGGGAGACCCAGGTTCGATCCCTGGGTTGGGAAGATCCCCTGGAGAAGGAAATGGCAACTCACTCCAGCATTCTTGCCTGGAAAATTCCATGGACAGAGGAGCCTAGCGAGCTCCACCTCTTTGCCTGGGGTTGCAAAGAGTCGGACATGACCGAGCAACTAACATTCACACTCACACAATTCTGTTTATAGAGTGATTATAAATGATAATTATTTATAATTATCTCATATACTTTACTAGTTATTGTACATGATTTTTAAACTAACACTCGGCATTAAGAATCATCCCCATGTCACAGATGAGGAAACTGAGTTAAGTTGTCATGCAGGGGAGGGACTGGGAATGCAGACTTGGGCTGAGAGTGACCCCAAAGCCTGTGCTCCTACCACTTCTCTGTGCTGTGGTTGTTCAGTTGCCAAGTTGTGTCTAACTCTTTGCAACCCCATGGACTGCAGCTCACCAGGCCTCCCTGTCCCTCACCATCCCCCCGAGTTTGCCCAAGTTCATGTCCATTAAATTCTCTGTGCTGCCTGCCTTCATAGGACCTGTGATGAGAGCAGTGATACACCCTTCCCTGTCCAGGGACTGGGGGCAGAGCTGAGTCTGGTCACTGAGCACAGACCCTGAGTCCTTACCTTCTGGCTAAGAACCCTGGCTCTACGGGCCAGTTTTGGAACTTAGACAAGGTACTTAGGCTCTGGACTTCGGCGTCTTCATCAGCAAAATGAGGATAGGAGCAGCTCCCTCCTCCTAGGTTTGCAATGAGGACTAGGGTTAGGTCTCAAAGTCAGTAAGCAGAGTTGTGAAGTGTGGGCGGGAGTCAGGTCTCTTTGCAAACTGCTGTTGTCCCTGTAGCTTCATTTTGTCTGGCCTCTGATATCAGCTTCATAGTTGAACTCCTGTCAGAATGTAACCTACAAACACTGGAAGACGAGATGGTGAGGCTTGTCAGTGGAGATGCTGAGGTTTTGTTCGCACTGGGTTTGGGCTCCTCTGCATCTTCTTACAGGCTGGGTCTCCCCTACAGGCATGAGCAGCTACTCTTCTGCCCTGCAAGGCCCTCTTCAGTGCTCTGAGCCAGGCACAAACATCCCACTGACCTTCATGTCCTCTGGATTCTCCACGGGTCAGGTTACTGTGACCTGGCTTAAAAACTCCCACCAGCTGTTAAAGTCCCAGACCAGCGCCACCCTTGTGGAGATACCTACAATGTGACCAGCAGTGTGCTCATCCTTCTGCAGGCTGACGACGTGCAGTCCCTTGTCCACTGCCAAGTCAAGCACATGTCCATACTGGTTTCCCAGAAAACCATCAGACTGGAGCAGTACCTCCGTGGTAAGGATGTTCTCTTTGTCCAGATGGCCTAGTGCAGAGTTGGGCTGGAAGTTTTCTGAGTCTGGGTTTCCTTGACTGATACATGGGACATCCCTCACTTCGTTGTGGCCAGAATTCAGCAAAATGAAACTGGTAAAGTAATTAACACATCTCTTGCTCATATCAATCACAGAGAAGTGGCAATTGTTATTATTCATATTTACTATTCATATCACCTCTCAGAACTCAGTTTCTTCAGCTGTAAAATGGAGATAAAATATCTTCTGGGAATTAAATTTTATTATATTCATTAATATATAATAATTTTATTTATATATATATAAATTTATAATTTTTATATGAAGAGAATTTAAAGGCCTTTGTGGACTTACAAATTTTCGGTAGAATGATGACTATTTTTATCTTTACTTATATGTAGGGAAGGGCCTAATTTTCATCTGTATTTTTTATAGGAGGTTGATTTTTATTTTCTTGGCCTGGATCAGGCCTTGCTACTGCTGCTGCTCCTGCTAAGTCGCTTCAGTCGTGTCTGACTCTGTGCGACCCCATAGATGGCAGCCCACCAGGCTCCCCCATCCCTGGGATTCTGCAGGCAAAAACACTGGAGTGGGTTGCCATTTCCTTCTCCAATGCATGAAAGTGAAAAGTGAAAGTGAAGTCGCTCAGTTGTGTCAGACTTTTAGCGACCCCATGGACTGCAGCCTACCAGGCTCCTCCCTCCATGGGATTTTCCAGGCAAGAATATTGGAGTGGGGTGCCATTGCCTTCTCCAGGATCAGGCCTTGACTGGTCTGCAAATAACATGATTTGAAATTCTTTCATATCATGCCTAATAGGAGCTTAGTGATCATCTCATTATTTGCAACAACTCTAAAGCCCAGAGAAGGTAAGTGAGTTGTCCAAGGTTGCATGCACAGCAGTAAAATTAATTTCTTAAATATTTGTAGGACTTTAAAGTTTACAAAATATTTTCCTCATTTTATGCTATTCTTGTGGAAGAAAATACATCATTTTACATGGATAAAATATTGATATTAATGACTTAAGCACTGCACATTGTCACTATACACACTTGTGTGGATTGGCTTATTTAATGTGTACAACCGCCCTGTACTGCTTATCCCATTCATGGTTTTATGGAAGGAAACTGCATTTGTAAGAAGTGAAGGTTGCCTGAGGGTATGAAGCTGGTGAGTGAGAGAACTTGGATGTGAATTCAGGCTTTTGGGACTCCACTATTCACCAGCTATTGGGACATCCTGCTGCTTGTTTAAGTGCTCTGAGTGTTGGGCTCACTGACTGTAAAATAGGAAAATGATACTGCAGGGACTCCTCCTTATCTGAAAATTTTTATATAATTCCCTGGAGTTAGAACAATTGTATAGAGAAGCAAATAGATAATAAGAATATTCACCATAAATTATTTATAAATTATATTAATCAAACTACAAAAATTAAACACAGAAAAAATATTAAGAGAAGCAAGGAAAAAGCAACAAGAAGCATACAGGAGAATCTCCATAAAGTTAACAGCTGATCTTTCTGTAGAGACTCTGCAGGCCAGAAGGAAGTGGCAGGATCTATTTAAAGTAATGAGAGAAAAACCTACAACCAAGATTACTCTACACAGCAAAGGTCTCCTTCAGCTTCAGTGGAGAAATCAAAAGCTTTTCAGACAAGCAAAAGTTAAGAGAAAACAGCACTACCAAACCAGATTTACAACAAACGCTAAAGGAACTTCTCTAGCCAGGAAACACAAGAGAAGAAAAAGACCTATAAAAACAAACCTAAAACAATTAAGAAAATGCTAATAGGAACGTATATATTAATAAGTACTTTAAATGTAAATGGATTAAATGCTCCAACTAAAAGACACAGACTAAATGGATAAAAAGAAGACCCATATATATGCTGTATGCAAGAGACCACTTCAGACCTTGGGACACGTGCAGACTGACAGTGAGGAGATGGAAAAATAGATTAACCTCCTCTTTAAATCCTCACTGCTCAACACTGCCTGCATCAGGTTGGGCTTGCCATTACAGAAATAATTTTGTGCTGTTGTCTGGATTTCCTTGGAGGCAAAGCCTGAAATGAGGTGTTAGGTGCAGGTGGTTGGGAGATGATTCAGTGAGACTGGGATAAGAGATGGAGTGAGTGACACAAGGAAGAAGGGACACCCCAGAAAAGATGAGTTATTGACCTGGGGGCTCCCATGGGTGACTGAGGCTCACTGCCACTGGGGACTGAGAAATATAGACTATTCCTCAGGACTGTCCATAGAGGAGGGAGCCTGGAATGTGCCTTCATGGGCTGCTGGATGGCATTTCATGGTTGTGGAGAAATTCAGACGCAGAGCATTGAGGAAGAGCTTCAAGAATCTGAAATAGAATGTGGTACCACCCAGCACCACTGGGCTGAGGTCAGGTGGCTACAAGAGATGGTGTGGAGCCCAGAAACCCTCTGCTTTAGCAGGTAGGTCTTTCCTTGACTGAAGTATGGCAAACATCAGACCACACTGTGCAATTAGAACCCACGTTTGTTGCTAAGTGAAATCAGAGATTTGGCAAAGTGTATTTCAAGTAATTGATGTAAATGATGTTTTAGAACTGCTGGGGTCTCAGGTGAATCTTCGGCCTTTAAAGATGAAAGAAGAAGGAAAAATTCTATGATCCTAATGATTCTGTGAGCACGTTGAAAGATGACATTTTGATTTTAAAATGCCCCTTAAAATTGACAGAATAGTCAAATGATTTCAAATAATTAAAAAAAATTAACTTTTAGGCTATGAGTGTGAAATTTGAAATGTAGGGTTTGATGGTATCGGCATACGTTATTTAGGAAAATATTATGCCAACTTCCTTACACTCCCAACACTTGTTTCTTCTAAAAGTTGGTGCATAATTGTCATTATATGCCACTGTGCTCAGTTGCTTCAGTTGTGTCCAACTCTTTGTGACTCCATGGACTGCAACCTGCTGGGCTCCTCTGTCCCTGGAGTTCTCCAGGCAAGAATACTGGAGGGGGTTGCCATGCCCTCCTCCAGGGGATCTTCCCAACCCAGGGATTGAACCTCTGTCTCCTGCATTGCAGGTAGATTCTTTATCACTGAACCACTGGGGAAGCCCAGTTGTCATTATATTCTATGTTTAATTAAAAACTAAATTAAATAAAATTATTTGTATAATTGAAATGTTTTTCAAGTTCAAATTTGAATCAATTCCTTTTCCATAGTTTCATTGAAATGGAGGCCTGAGTTGTGTAGTGTCCTTCTATTGGCTTTTTGTTGTCTTTTCTGATACCAAGTAGCACTTTGTGCTTATACCATTTGGTTGTGAAGAATAAAGAGCACATGCACAGTGACTCAAGCTCCGTTCTCAACATGGGAGCAAATATCATCAGTTGGGTTTTGGTCTCTGTCCTCCTGACATTGTCCTGAATATCTTGCAGCCCAGAAAACTCACTGGTGACTAGAATGGTATATCTGAGACCCTCCATGCTCTTATTGGTCCTTGTCAGCCCTATGGCACTTGCTTGGTGGTACCTTGTTCTGGCCTGTCCTCCATAGGCACTGCCTAGTTACCAGGCCATCGCAATCCCTTCTCTGGATTCTGCTCTCTGCTTGGTAGGAATCCCTGCCTGTGGGCTGAAAGGGAAAGATTGGCAAGAGATAGGGACATTCTAGGGATGGTGACAGGGACGTTCTGGGGATGGAGTCTTGCTTGGCTGTCCCACCCATGAGTAGCATCATAGATGCAAGCATATAGGTTGAGGTCAATTGAGTATAAAAGAAATAATATTTGGGGAACAAACATACTCTTAGTTCTTTCAAATTGTACTACATATGGTGTTATTCTCTCTACCCTAGACCAAGGGCCAAAGTCTATATAACTAGACCCCTGAAAACTGATCAAGCTTAGATAATTTCCAATAAGAGTGTGGGAAGCAAAAAGATGGTGACGGGCACAAGGTCTTGCATTTGGCAATAGTGTCAGTGCAGAGACCAGAATCTGATTCTCACTTCCCTTACTTTAGTTTAGTGCTGTCTATTCCTATTAATTCTACTGAAGCCCTTAATGTTTTTTAGTATTTTTTAATTTCTCCAATTTTCTTTAGTATGCATACATTTTCTTCACAGCTGAAAAGTCTGGTTAAAAAAATTCTAGAAGTTGTTAGGTCATAATTTCCAGGAGCCTGCAGTCATAATAAATGCTTATAGCCTTATAGTTTGGGTGTCAGAATAGCAAATGGTAAAATATACTGTCTCTGGTGGAACCCCTGCTTTGCCACGTGTGACCTTGGGTAAATATTTAGCTTCTCCAAAAGTAAGTTCCTTTCTATGCCAAATATTAGTATTCTGCAGTCATGAAGGTTAGAGGCTTGGAATCTTCATCAAGTCGTAGAGTAAGTCAACTGATTCATAGGTTCTTAAATGAAATTCAGGTTCACCTTTTCCTATTGAGTGTCTACAGTGGAAAAGAAAGGAAAGATTAAGATGGCTTCATCATTCCATGCTTCCATCCAAGCATGCATTCACTCATGCACTTACTTATGCATGCATTTGTTAACCAATACCTAACTCCTCTGTGGTAGGCCCTGGGCAGGGGACCCCTATCCTTAGGGAGCTTGCCGGTTCCCATGGTGAACTTCTTATGGTAATTGTCTGCTTTCTTTGGCCTGTGACAGTCCCCCCTACAGTGACTGTGTCCCAGTCTTCACATTCTTTGGACGTGGTGGCAGTTACCTGCCACGTGCAGAGATTCTATCCACAGAATGTGCATCTCAGCTGGTTGGAGAACTGCCATATGTTCAAGGGAGCTGTGCAGCCCTCGTCCAAGCAGAATAGTGATGGTACCTACACCTTGGAAAGCTTGCATTTGGTGAATGCCTCAGTGTGGGAGTCTGAACGTGTACTTACCTGTAAAGCGCAGCATGAGACCCAGCCTCCCATCCAGGCCAGCCTCATACTGTCCACAGCAGTGCAGGACACATACAAACTCATTGGGAGCACAGGTAAGCTTACCTCTACACCTGTGAGCAACTGTGACCTCTCTCTCCGAGAGGAATGAGGTATTAACTCACAGAGTCCCGTTTGATATCTCCTCTGCCCCTTGTCACTTAGGTCCAGAGATGCCTGCCCTTATCTTGATGGCTTTCCTCCTGGGCTTCAAAGTGGTGCTGGTGATCAGTTTCATAGCCACCTATTTCCACAGGTAGTGGAACCTGTAACAGGTGAGGTGGTGGCAGTCTTATTCTTTAGGGATGGAGATCAGAGCCACCTTCCTGGGGTGGCCACAGGAGTCAGGGCAAGTTCAAAAATCATATGGCAATCCAGCTTCAAGGGAGAAATGTAAACAGACTTATTTTCTCCAAATGTGTTTTGGAATTTCAGAGGCTTCCAACTCTCATTATTTTGTGCCCTGGAATTTGAAGTTTCTACCATTAAGTTAGTTGGGACCCTGCGGGTGAGGGTCTAAGGTATGCAGGATCCTGGAGGTGAGGGTCCGCAGTCAAAAAATTTTTGAAACCCAAACTCCAAAGAGCCCTTCCATGGACTGTTGTATATTCAGTTATCACATGGTGTATCCTTGGAATGAATAAGGAAAGTATTACTAAAATCAACTTATGGAACCTTTCTTGGGGACTTGGGTGTGCTGTGTAATAATACAGTGGATGTGGGTATGGGAGAGAATTCAGAACTCAGAAAGAGGTGTTTGGGGCTTCATTTCTGGTCAGCACCACGAACCCAGGCCAAGCAAAGTGCCTGGATGTGGGTATGGGAGAGAATTAAGAACTCAGAAAGAGGTGTTTGGGGCTTCATTTCTGGTCAGCACCACGAACCCAGGCCAAGCAAAGTGCCTCCCATACAGCATGTGCTCAAAAACACTTGTGGAATCAATGAATGAGTGTTTTTCCCTACAGGTCCTGCATACTCTGTGATACACTGCCTCCCTCCCTGTGCAAGGGGCTCAAGTGGAAAGAAGCTGTAAGGACTGGAGATGACTCAAGATTCCCCGCCCTTCACTCTGCTTTCCCCACCTCCGACATGAACACACTCCCTTCCATACATCCTCTTATGTTCCTTCTCTCTGACCTTTGGAATTGAGTCAAGGATGGACATTGGTCACGTTGATCCGGAATGTCTGGACCCTGATGCACTGAGCTTCAAATTGGCCCTGCCTCCACCCCAAAGAGAATCAAGTAGATCAAGAAAACAGGTTTCCATTGTGCCCCTGCTCAAGAACACTTAATTTTCAGAGCACTTTTTACTTTTATCCAGAGCTTTTGCAAGTGTGATTTCATTTTAACACACATGTACTTTAAATCACTAAGTTGAATAAGATTCTTCTATTCTGAAATTTATAATATAAAAATATCTACATAACTACCTACCATGCTATGTTTGCAGACTGTTAACATTTTGCTATTGTGAGCTGTTGTTCCTTTGAAAATTACTGTACTAGATTTGGTATTCATAATCTCAATCACGATTTTATAACTTTACAACATATGTATAAATCCTTAAGCAATATATAATATTGCTTGCATGTTTTAACTTTTATATAAATGTTATTATACTGTATACAGCCTACTGGAACTTTTTTTTTATACTCAATACAGTTTTTTTCTTTATTCATAAATTCATAAATGAATTTATACATTCATTTTTGTAACTTCATTTTATTAATTTCCACTGCTGTATAATTTCTACTGTGAGAGTATGCCACAATGTATTGATTTTTCTTTTGATGGATATTAAATGTTTATGTAATGTCTTGCTAGTAGAATTTTGCACAAATATTTTTATCTTTGTCTCTTGGGCATATATGGGAGAGTTCCTCTTCATCTGGTGTGTCCATAAAGTGGACTATTGTATCATTTGGAGCTTTTGTTATACATTGAAAAAAAAGATTTTCAAATCTTGATCAAGTTTTGCTCTTTCTATTTATGCCTTTGATCTCACTGTGTGTCTGTGTGCCTTTGATCTCATTTTTCATGTGTGTGTGTGTGTCTATTACAGGTGGGGATATTGTCAGGATCTGGTATATTTATTTTTGATCTGCACTGCCCCTTTTCCATATATCAATTTCCCACAAATTTCTGGTTCTTTTAGTGATTTTATTTTGTTTCATTGTGCTACTTGTCTATTTCTCTGACCAAACTACCTTATCTTAGAATAGCTTCAGAAGCTTTAATGCCTTGGCTGGGCCCATCTTCCCACTTTTTCTTTCCTTCCTTTCTTTCTTTCTTTGGCTGCACTGGGTCTTAGCTGTGGCACATGGGGTCTTCACTGCGGCATGTAGGCTTTCTTAGTTGTGGCGTGTGACCTTGGGTGCCCTGTGGCATGTGGGATCTTAGTTCTCTGACCAGTGATTGAACCTACATCCCCTGTATTGCAAGCAGGTTCTTAACCAACCAGTGGACCACCAGGGAAGTCCCTTCCCACCTTTTCTTGTTATTCAAAACTGTCATGGCTATTTTTGACCCAAACACATTTTATTTTACTTTATTTTCTGCTTTTTAGAGATTGAAGTATAGTTGATTTAGAATATTATGTTAGTTTTAAGTGTAACATCGTGATTCAAGATTTTTGTAGATTATACTCCATTTAAAATTACAAAAATGGCTATATTTTCTCATGCTGTGCAACATATCCTTCTTACTTTTTAATCTTATACATAGTAATTCGCAACTCTTCATCCCCTTTCCCCTCCCCACTTGTAATTACTATTTGTTCTCTATGAGTCTGTTTCTGTTCTGTCATATACATTAATTTGTTTTATTTTTTAGACTCCATGTATGGGTATTTGTCCTTCTTTGTCTGACTTACTTCACTAAGCATAATACCCTGCAGGTCCACCCACATGGTTGCAAATGGCAGAATTTCATTTTTTTTTTAAATGGCTCAGTAATATTTCATTCCAGGAATATTCTGCATATATATATATAGTGCATATATTCCATTGTATACATATATACATGTATATGTATATATATACCATATCTTTCTTATCCATTCATCTGTTGATAAGTTACTTCCATATATCAAATATTATAAATAATGCTGCTGTGAACATTGGGGGTGCATGTATCTTTCCCAATTAGTATTTTTTTTTCCTTCAGATAGAGTGGTAGTTCTATTTTTAGTTTTTTGAGGAATCTTCATACTGTTTTTCATAATGGTTGCATCAATTTACAATCCTACCAAGAGTGTACAGTGGTCCTCTTTTTTCCACATCCTCACTAGCAATAGTTATTTGTAGAATTTTTGGTGATGGGCATTTTGACAGGTATAAGTAGGCATTTGTAGTTTTAATTTGCATTTCTCTGGTGATTAGCAAAGTTGAGCATCTTTTCATGTACCTGTTGGCCATCTGTATGTCTTCTTTGGAAAAATGTCTGCTCGGATCTTCTGTCCATTTTTTAATTATGTTGTTTGTTTTTTGGTATTGAGCTGTATGATCTCATATTTTGGATATTGTGCGTGTGTTAGTCACTCAGTCGTGCCCTACTTTTTGCAACCCCATGGACTGTAGCCTGCCAGGCTCCTCTATCCATGGAATTCTCCAGACAAGAACACTGGAGTGGGTAGCCTTTCCCTTCTCTAGAGGATCTTTCCAACCTAGGAATCAAACCCAGGTCTCCCACATTGCAGGTGGATTCTTTACCAGCTGAGCCACAAGGGAAGCCCATATTTTGGATATTAACTATGTATTAAATACAGATTAAAAACTCCTTATTGGTCATATTACTTGCAAATATTTTCTTCTATTTAATAGACTATCCTTTTGTTTTGTTAGTGATTTTCTTTGCTGTGCAAAAGCTTTTAATTTTATTTAGGAATCAATTTTTTTAATTTTTGCTTTTGTTTCTTTTCCTTAAGGAGACAGATCCAAAAGATACTGCTTCAATTTATGTCAAAGAGTGTACTATATTCTCCTCTAGGAATTTTATGATTTCAGGTTTTACATTTAGTTCTTTAATCCATTTTGAGTTCATTTGTGTAGGTGGTATGAAGGAATGTTCTAATTTCATTCTTTCATATGTAACTATTCAATTTTCCCAGCACTACCTTTTGAAGACACTCTCCTTTCTCTACTGTATCTTCTTGCATTCTTTGTCATAGATTAATTGACTATAAGTGCATAGTTTTATCTCTAGTCTCTCTATTCCATTTGGTTGATCTATGTGTTTGTTTTATGCCATTACCATTCTGCTTTGATTATTGTCAATTTGTAGTATAGTCTGAAGTAAGAAAGCATGATACCTCCAGTTTTGTTCTTTTTTCTCAAGATTGCTTTGCAAATTCAGGGTCTATCTGGTTCCATACAAATTTTAGGATAATTTTTCTATGTCTGTGAAAAACGTCATAGATATTTTGATAAGGATTGTATTAAATCTGTAGATTACATTGGGTAGTATGGACATTTTAACAAGGTTAATTCTTACAATATAAGAGCATGGGATATCTTTCCATTTCTTTGCCTCATCTTCAATTTCCTTCCTCAGTGTTTTATAGATTTCAGAGTGAAGATCTTTCATCTCCTTGTGTAAATTTATTCCTAGGTATTACATTCTTTTTGATGATATTTAAATGAGATTGTTTTCTTCTTTTCTCTTTCTGATAGTTCACTGTTGGTGTCTAGAAAAGCAAAAAGACTTCTGCATATTGATCTTGTATCTTGAAACTTTACTGATACCTTTTTTAGCTCTAATAGTTTCTTTGTGGAGACTTTAGGGTTTTGTCTATAGAGTATTATGTCATCTGAAAATAATGACAATTTTTCTTTCTTTCCTTCTCATTTTAATACCTTTTATTTCTTTTTCTTCTCCAATTGCTGTGGCTAAGACTTCCAATATAATGTTAAATAGAACTGGTAAGAACAGGAATCCTTGTCTTGTTCCTGAATTTAGTGGGAAGACTTTCAGCTTTTCACCATTGAGTATGATGTTAGCTGTGGGTTTGTCTTAAATGGCCTTTATTTGTTGAGATATATTACTTCTATGCCAACTTTGATAAGAGCTTTTATCATGAATGGATGTTAAATTTTGCCAAAGGCTTTTTCTCTGTTGAGATAATCATGGGATTTTTATTCTTCCTTTTGTTATGTGGTATATTGCACTGACAGACTTGTGAATATTAAACTATCCTCATATCCCTGGCATAAATACCACTTGATCATGGTATATGATCTTTCTAATATATTGTTGAATCATTTGCTAATATTTTGTTGAATATTTTTGTCTCTATATTTATCATGGATATGGGACTATAATTTTCTTTTTTGTACTGTGTTTGTTGGGTTTTGGTGTCAAGGTTATTGTGCCACACAGAATGAATTTAAAAGTATTCCATCCTCTTTAATCTTTGGAATAGTTTGAGAAGGATAGCATTAGCTCTTCTTTATATTTTTGGTGGAATTCCCATGTGAAGCCATCTGGTCTTAGACTTCACATAAGCTGTGAGTTTTAAAATTACAAAACCAATTTCGCTATCCATGATCAGTGCTCAGATTACCTATTTCTTCCTGATTCAGTCTTGGAAGATTGTATACCTCTAGAAATTTGTCACTTTCATCTAGATTGTCTAATTTGTTGGCATGTAACTGTTCATAATATTACCATGATATTTTGTATCTCTCTGATATAAGTTGTTATTTCTTTTTCATCATTGCTTTCTTTTTTCTGCTCCTTTAAGTTTTTTCCTTTTGTTTTTGTTACAAATAGTATTAAAATAAAAGAGTTACATGAATTTATCAGGCTTTAGGTGTTTTGAAAATCTTTTTCATCATTTCTTATTTTGTTTATTTCAGTTTACTGTCTTTTCTACTTTTGAGCCTGGCTTAAGGTTTATCAATTTAGTTTGTCTTTTCAAAAAATCAACTGTAGTTTTCATTTATCTTTTCTATTGTTTTCTGTCTCTATTTTCTTTATATTCTCTCTGATCTTTATTATTTTTTTCATCCTGCTGAATTTTTCCTTTGTTCTCCTTTTTCTAATTCCTTTAAATGGTAGGTGAGGTTGTTTATTTGAGATTTTTCTTGTTTCTTGATGTAGGCCTATATCACTATAAACTTCCCTCTTCAAACTACTTTAGCTACATCCCATAGATTTTGAAAAATTGTGTTTTTGTTTTCATTTGTCTCATGAAACTTTTCAGTTTCCTCTTTGATTTCTTTATTGACCCATTGACTTTTTTCATTGCATGATATACTTTTTTCAAAAATTTTATTTATTTAATTTTAATTGGAGGATAATTACTTTACAAAATTGTGATGGTTTTTGCTCTATATCAACATGAATCAGCCATAGATATACATGTGTCCCCCCTATCCTGAGCCACCCTCCCACCTCCTTCCCACCCTATCCCTCTAGGTTGAGCAGTGGCTTTGAGTGTCCTGCTTAATACATGGAACTTGCACTGGTCATCTATTTTACATATGGTAATGTACATGTTTCAGTGCTATTCTCTCAAATCATCCTATCCTCGCATTCTCTCAGTGAGTCTGAAAGTCTGTTCTTTACATCTGTGTTTCCTTTGCTGCTTTGCATGTAGGATCATTGGTACCATCTTTCTAAATTCCATATATATGCATTAATATACAGTGTTTGTCT